TCGGACAAGGGCGAAAAATCTCGGAGGGCCCGTGTGCAAGTTGTGCACGTTAAAGATCCCTTGGTGGTCTAAAATCCGCCACCCGGGCAAAATTCAAAATTTCCTACCAACTGAAAATATTAGGTGTGTCCCGCGCGCTCATATGACCTATGTAGTTGCGAGCGCCGTAAAACACTTTACAAAAACAAAACATAATCTCTTTTCCTATGAAACGTTTATTGTCCTTATCTCTCCTCCTTTTTTCTGTTACTGTCTTGTAACACCTGTAATATTCGACACTTCTATGACCTATCTGTGTTGCAGTTGTGGTACATCCTAAAGCTAAGAGTGTATATGTTCCCATAGTCTGGGTTTTTTAAACGCAGGAATTTGCTTTAACTTTGCTCCATCACTCATTTTTTCAGGCCTGACAGTGAAGAAGTTAAACCACAAACCACACGACTTTGCTTAGTTTTAGGAAAAATTTTACGACACTTGCAACACAAAAAGGTCATATTCCTGCCGAAGATTAGATGCGTTACAAGAGTAACAGACACAAAAAGGAGGAGGAGAGAGAAGGACGACAGATGTTGATATGAAAAAGTAGCAGACACCACTAGAGCAGCCACCAACCACCCACACACAAGACTTCATATACACAGGCATATTTTTAACTATCCAACCGCAAGACTTCATAATGTAATTAAACTCAAAATTTCATAATGTAATTTAACACAAGACTTCATAATATACATGTATGTATGTACATTTACTTGTTGTAGTTTTTGTGTGTGTGGGTTTTTTAAAAATACATGTACCACGAAATTTTGATCTCTGTTGATCTGACTCGTGGTGCAAGGGTTGAAGATTAAGGGAAATAACCGAAGAAAATGGTTTATCAGAGAATGGGATACTATGAGTTATAAAACTTGGAGCCTTTATCCTCGTTTCTCACCCCATATTATCATTCATTATAGGCGTGTTCCCTGGCTATGCCTGTGACATTCTTAGAATTATATATTATTATTATATAGCTACGATGGGCACGTTCAAACTGTTCCCTGCACTTGCTTTTTACTTTCCTCTGCGTATGAAGAAAAAAATTCTGGAATTTTAATTTTCGAAAACGGACCGTAGAAATTAATGACACCAATAGGCCAGAGACTTGTAATCAGTCCTGCTGTTGTTGTTGTTGTTGTTGTTGTTGTTGTTGTTTTTGTTGTTGGTGGTGGTGGTGGTGGTGGTGGTGGTGGTGGTG